AGACAAATCCCAAAGAGATGCATTCACCGCTTGTTACACACTTAAATTCCTGTGAGGTGCACGATGGAGGTGCTGCCACAGAGAACAAAACAAGAGTTTACACACAATTAACAATGCTTATGGTTCTATGTTCAGGCTTGGTTTTATGTTTCTGTACCACAGATTATCACATAGACATTCATATGCTGTATGTCTGTGTGAAGAGTTTATCAAACCACTGGAAACACTTATTTTCTTTGTACTGCACTGTGTTTCCAGTAATTGTTTATAATACTCACGACAGTTCAGCTCATCTGAGTCATCCGTGCAGTCTTTGGTCCCATCACACCTCCAAGCTATGTCGACGCATTGTCCACTGGAGCACTGAAACTCCGTACTGTCACAACTTCCTGCAGAAAACGCACACAGAGACGGAAGGATAAAACATCTGTCACCATTTATCGCTTTATGGGCATAGTGTGAGCCTGAACTGTGTGGTTTCAGTCACACATTTAATATCGTTTAAAATACATTCAGTGATAAATGAAAAGATAGTGTTTTGTTTTTACTGTTTCCTTGACAAATGAATTACCATTTTTATGACAGGTTTGGGCAGACTGTATGCAACATTTGAACCTTAAAACATGTGATTCGGCCATTAAAGGATAGTTAATTCTTCACCATCTATGAACAATCCATTTTATGACCTTGGAGTATGCAGACTATCATTTCCAATAGATTATTGAAGTCTGAATCAGCACAGAGATGTGTACTTTGTATCTCTTGTGCATTTTTAACGTTTCAGTATTTGTGAAATTTTTGAATTTGATAAAAAGTCAAAAATGTGTGCTTTGTATTGTAAATTTCTGGTTACCGAAAACCTTGCATAGGTACGATTTTAAAATTTCTAAATGCTAATACACTTCGGTAAACTTTTACCTTTTATTCTTGAACATCATGTTACAATACAACTAACTTTTAAAAAGCTTGTTTTAAGATTTAATGATTTCAGCAAAAATTGTCAATAATTTCATGGTTTTCATTAATCTAATATATTCTTTTTTCAAAGTGAGTGCCAAATTACTCAAAAAATTTTGTACAGCTCTGGAAATGTCCTGTAAAATATCCTACAAAAAAGCCCAAAAACCCATCACCAAACAGATTTGGGGGAAAAAACTTACAATATTTTACAATATTTGTGAAAGAGGAAATCCATTAAAACTCAGTGTTTTGATGAAAATAGCACTATGATTATGCAAAAATCCTGAAAATCCCACTTCTTAGCATTGGTAATAGTTTTATCCTTCTCTCATTACTTATCTTTAACATATTAGTGTCTAGAAAACGTATTATTGTGAAATCAAGAGTATCCACATACCTTGAGTAAGTTGAATTCCTTGAGACAGCAGTAGAAGAGATAGAAGATGAAGACCGCTAAGGCCCATAATTTAATTCTGGTGTTACTTTGACAAAGTGTGTACACTCATACTAAAGCTAACCCAAATGAGCCTGGGGAAGATACTACCTTTGGGACTGAGATGCACAGCCAGGAGCAACCAGCGGACCAATAATGTGACAAGGAGTTAAACCGCTTTTTATGGCTAGCCCCTCTACATAAACTTCATCTAAGATTAACTTTTACCTGTTGGTATGTTGTCTACATCAGCAAGAAAAAGAAGCTACTCATTTTTGTGTAACAGTCTACCTCAGGAAGTTAACACTGCACCAGGATTAATAAAACATTATAGTTCATAAGAATAAACATGCTTTAAAAAACAACAACAAACAAACAAAACACTAAAGCACAATTGACATGCTTTATAATCAAAATAACCCACAGAAAACACACTGTAGTTGAGACCACGATTTAAATATGAATATCTTACACGTGACACCTGTTAAATGAATTGTAAAAAAATACAAATCCCAAATACAACTCGCAATCCCTGCAGTAAATATGATTGTTACATTTGTAATTTAATACAGGGGTGGTGTACAATAGCAGTATAGTATTGGGTTGTACTGCACACTGCTTTTATTTGTGTAGTGTGTAGGATTTAGTGGCATCTAGCAGTGATCTTGCAGATTGCAAGTATCTGAACGCTGCTGGCGTCCATATTTGACTACCTGTGAATAAGGACGGGTTGTGAAGTGTGTAGGACAAAAAGTCTGTCGAAAACATGGTGGTTCAACATGGCGAACTCCGTGGAAGGTGACCCATGGTGACATAAAGAGCTCATTCTCATTCCATGCCTATATTCAGATGATTACACACTAATGAAAACATACCTATGAATATTCCCATATATTTCCATTTCTGCCAATAGAGCCTCCAATTCAATTCAATTCAATTCAATTCAATTTTATTTGTATAGCGCCAATTCATAACAGAAGTTATCCCAGGACACTTTTCAAATAGAGCAGGTCTAGACCAAACTCTTTAAAACATTAATTACAGAGACCCAACAGTACCACCATGAGCAAGCACTTGGCGACAAGGGCAAGGAAAAACTGCCTGTTAAAAGGCAGAAACCTAGGACAGATCCTCCGGCTCTAGGTGGGTGGTCGTCTGTCTCGACCAGTTGGGGTGTGAGAGAGAGAGAGAGAGAGAGAGAGAGAGAGAGAGAGAGAGAGAGAGAGAGAGAGAGAGAGAGAGACAGACAGACAGGTGCACAGCAACAACAGTTTTAGCAATGGCAATCTAGCAGGACCATGGCAGGAGGCTCCACCAGGATCGACAAGAACCTGCGAGATGAGAAAGCACAAGAACTCCGGGGAAGAAGTGAAGTTAGTAACATGCATTAATGGGACATGAATGAGTGCAGAAAGAGAGAGGAAGAGAGGAGCTCTGTGCACCATGGGAAATCCCCCGATAGTCTAGGCCTATAGCAGCATAACTAAGGGATGGTTCAGGACTCACCTGATCCAGCCCTAACTATAAGCTTTATCAAAGAGGAATGTCTTAAGCCTACTCTTGAATGTGGTGAGGGTGTCTGCCTCCCGAACCACAAATGGAAGCTGGTTCCACAGGAGAGGAGCTTGGTAACTGAAGGCTCTGGCTCCTGTTCTACTTTTAGAGACTATAGGAACCACAAGTAGCCCAGCATTCAGAGAACGTAGTGTTCTAGAGGGGTAATAGGGTACTATGAGCTCTTTAAGATATGAAGGAGCCTGACCATGAAGAGCTTTATAGGTGAGGAGGAGGATTATAAACTCCATTCTACATTTTACAGGGAGCCAATGCAGAGAAGCTAGTACAGGAGAGATGTGATCTCTTTTTCTAGTTCCTGTCAGTACTCGTGCTGCAGCGTTCTGAATTAATTGGAGCGTTTTAATGGACTTATTGGGGCAACCTGATAATAAAGAGTTGCAGTAATCCAGCCAGAATGTTACACACTGGATTTTTACTTTATTATATTTATTATCTTTACTTTATATTTATGAATGTGTGTCTATGAATTCCAACCTGTTTGAGCAGAAAAATAAAGTAATCATTAACTTAAATGAGCTGTGTGGCGTGTTAATATCTATGATTGCCACATTATTTATCAAACTATTGGCAGCTTCTCCTGTTCTTTATTGCATTTTACAATGTGTGACCTTGTCACGGTGAATCTGCATAGTTGGTTTACAGCACAAAGGACTAGTGCTTAGTGACATAAACGGTGGTGAATATATACCAGCTGTAGAATGAGACAAGATGTATTTAAGTACAATGTTGAGGAGCGTTTTCATTTTATGTTACTTCATACTTCTACTCCACTTTTGGAGCCAATATAAATCAACAAATTAAATGACTATAGGCTAAGCTACCCGGAAGTATGTATATAAAGTACTATACCAGCTGTGGTAAAGTGATGAAGACATGAATGCATCACTAATTATAATCCAATGATAAATATTTTTCTATATTTGATATATTCTGCATGATGAGTACGTTTACTTTAGGTGCTTTAAGGATATTTTCATCCTAATACTTTTGCACTTTTACTTGCAAGGCTTTTTCTTGTGGCAGAGTATGTTTACACTGTAGTATTTCCATTTTCACTTAAAAGTAAAAGATTTGACAATGCCAAGTGCTTCAAAGCCTATACAGAAAAGTCTTTTCTGTTACATTTATCCTCCTCAGTAGAGTGAGAAAGAAAAACTGTGAAGCTACAGTTACAGCTAAATAATATGTAAACCATCTGCTCTGGCAAGTAGTATATCAGCAGTTCAATAAATCAGATGTTAACTTCCCACAACACAGATTATGTGCTCCTTACAACCATGTGTTCCCAGTCACTGAAGCTTAAAATCACGTTTTTCTGACTCATTCACCTGCTGCACATTTAGTCACTGTTTCTCTGTTGTTGTTGCATGTTGATGAAAAATGGCATTTGTTACTAAACTGACACACACTTTTGGTTTGCTTTCACCCCTAATTCCATTTCCTCTTGGTATTTTTTTCAGTTTTAATGCTGTAGATCTACAAAGATTGGGCAGTGGTGTAGTGGTTGCTTCTTGAAATAGAAATAGACATTTTGTAGCCTAACGCAGACAGCCAGCAGCTTTGGTGAATCACTGTGGTCCTAGCTTGTAAGTAAGTTAGATCACCAGCTCAGATAACTAAATCCTGTGGACACACCAACTATAAGGCATTGTATGTCAACCCTGTATTCATCACCGACACAAATGACTTAAGTCTCTGTGTTTGTAAAACTTTGGCGCCCTCCAGCTGTAGCATTAATGCGTGCAACGTTTTTAAATCAATTGTATTCAGGGTTGAAATGTTTTAATATAACATAACCTTGTTAAACATTTAAAGTAGTGGATGAATTTAATGTCATATGATATTATGAGTGACATATTTTGGACATGGAAATTTTGCTATTTTATTTTATTCAGTTAAATAAACAGCTTCTTATCAATAAGACATGAAAGTTGTTAATAATACACAAAATATACTCTCAGCTATACAAAACAGACAAAACAATTTCAATGTAGTAAACATTTAAAAATATATGAACGGACAAATATGCCCTAATTTGAAAGAATAACTCATTTGATTTTATTTGAACAAAAGAAACTTGTCTCATTATAAAAAAAAACAGAACCTTAAATCATTTTACATGCGAAATGATAACTTGTAAATTCATAGACGAGCCATTTAATAACATGGCAAGAGAAAGATAATGAACATTCTCATTTCTGGGTTTCAGCCTGATCAAAGTATCAATTTCTGCCTCAATGCCATTAAACAATTACACTTTCTTAAGTTCCTGTCTACTCAAAAATAGGCTTTTCATGAAAGTGGAAAGTTTCTCTGTGCTTATTTAAAATCAGATTTTAAGGGGCGGGGCCTACACGCATGTGTTGTGACATCACATACACTGAGAATGGACTTTATAATGAAGTAAGAGACATTTGAGGTAGGAGTAAATGCCTTTTTAAGGATTTTAATGTGTAAATTATACTAAACAAATTATTTCTATATGTCATAGTACATGTCTGGAGATGATCTTTAAGTAAGTAATATCAATATTCATAGACGGCAAAGATAACTACAGTGTACGTTTCTCAAACTTTCACAGAGATTAGTCAAGCAAAGACAGGAATGATTTATGACAGCTTACAGAATAGAACAATGCTGGTCAGTGTGGTGAAAGAACATACCTGCCATATGGCACAGTAATAGTAATTAGTGCTTCTGTTAAAACAACTCTTACCATAATACTATATTAACAGTGAACAGTTATTTTTTAGGGAAAGAATTATTCTGAGATGTTTCCAATGAAACCTCAACAAGTTTTTGATCTGGGCAAGTGTCACTGTAGGATAAACCTTTGTGGTTCCTCATTAATTGAACCGTCTTCCATTGTCATGCGTGTAGTAAGGGTTTGATTGGCCTTGGCTCGAAGCGTACGGGTTGTTCTGGGGTCGATCCTGGGCATAGGGGTTGTTCTGGGGTCGATCCTGGGCATAGGGGTTGTTCTGGGGTCGAGCCTGAGCGTAGAGGCTGCTCTGGGGTCGAGCCTGATCATAGAGGCTGCTCTGGGGTCGAACCTGAGCATAAGGGGGCATGTCATCATCGTCTTCAAACTGCCGCTGCAATGAAAAGAGACTTTCTTTATGAGAGAATTGCAAAACCAAGTATGTGCCAGATTTTCTCCTCTCTTACCCTGCTGAATATTTTCATTCATTTTCTGCTCAGCATTCTTTTTATACTTCTTTAGCTTATCCTCACCTCCCTCCCACATTATACATGAAACACACACAGAGGCATACTCACCATGTTCCTCCCCGAATTGACAAGGTTTTGCCGGCTATTGCTTGGAGTCATCTCAAGGTTGGTCCTGCTGTCCCAGCTACTGGTGGTTGTGGCCCGTGGGATCCTAGGCACCCCAGCATTGGCAAAGGAATTGGCCTGCCCATTAAATGCGGCTGTGTGGTTGCCGTTAACCAATGGTGCCTTGGCAGGAGAGTGGGTGACGTAAGTCCCAATGTCTGCATTTTTGTTCTTCTTCTTGGAACTCTTCTTTGGGGATCTGAAAAGATAAAACAAAAGTAGATATTACTGTCTACTCTATTTGTATCTGTATTAATGTATTATAGTTTATTTATTACATAATATATTACATTACATATGTAAATTGATTTTTCTTTGACTCTAAATATTTGCAAACAAATTGTGATTGGGAGTTAAAAACACCAGGCTATCTTTAATAATTAATGTGCCAGGTTGCATAAAGATTCATGTGTAGCATGAATGAGGCAAAAAATGTCTAGGAGTGTGTGATAAATAGATGACAAACTCACTTGAGTGCCACAACAGGCAGAAGAATGAGTGTGATGAGCAGCAGTCCCCCTAACACGGACCCGACAATCACCAGTGTCAGCTGCCATGCTAACAAAACACAATGATAATGACATCAGTAAAAAGGCTATGGAAATATTTTTTCTAAAACAAAACCTAAAAAGAGCTTCCACAATCAGAATCATAGCAATAATGAAATCAAATCCACTGATTTTATATATAAATGTACCTACTACGGTATTTTTGTCATGGAAGTAATGTAACCTTTATCCAAAATCTGCTCAAAGAACATACATTCAGTACACAGATCCTGTTGTAAAGCAAGTATTATAGACCACTGCAGCACAGACCAAACTGACCAAACTGAAAACGGTGTCTTAAACAGTAATTTACTTGCCATGCATTGATATTAAAGCAATACAAGCAGGATTATGTTTCCCCCTAAATTATTTTGCATTTTCCAGGAGTTGTGTATGAACATGATTTAGGGAGGTATTACAATTTCTATGTGAGTTTGCAACAAGTTCATATAACTATTTTCAAATAGTGATTTTTTATGTTTATTTTTTGGTTGTCATTATGTGTTTTGTTGTTCTTTTTGCCTTCACTGTCAACCACATGCTGTATACTCACATTCATTGCAGTTAAAACCAGAATAACCAAATGGACAACTAAAAGACAAGAAGAATAGTTCATGTCACAATTGTATTGACTCTCAGCTTTTTCCCTACTCAACGATGGTTTGCATGAAATGTCTAAGTACAATTAGATCATTTTAGATCTTCAGTCATTTTCCGAACATGCTATGTCATTTAGGCACTTACGCGACACATTCAGAGGATTCATCAGCTTTTGTGCCACTGGGACAAGCTGCAAAAACAGAAAAAGTTGAGGTCATTTGTTTTTTAGTTAAAGAAAGGATATTATATAACACACACACACACACAGACACACACTCTCTCTCTCTCTCTCTCTCTCTCTCTCTCTCTCTCTCTCGCTCTCTCACTCACTGAATGGTCTTACCAATGCAAATTCTGTTACTGAAGTCTGTCTTAATGTAGTTTTCGATACATGTACAGTTAAAATCTCCATCTGCTGATGAGCATGTTACAGATTTTTCATCACAGGGACTGTTATCACACAGGTTTTCATCTATAAATAAAGCAAACAAAAAAAGATAGTATCAGTACACCTAACTCAGTGCAGTGGTGTAAAATACAGAGAAAAATAACATGATATGAACTGTGGACAGAAATGTACAATGTGGTGATAGTATTACCATTACCAGAAAGACATTATTAGTCATTGGCTGAATTATATTCTGTACACCGTACGAAGGTCACTATATATGCAATGACAGGGGGACCAGCGTGTTGCCTATTGGTTACGTTACACAGTATACTACAGTATAGACAGGAATTGAGTAATTATTGTATTGTTAAGTGGCCGTTACTCATTATATGGTGGGATAGACCACTTGATTAAGCTAATTTTCTTAGATGTATGTCTTCTAAGCCACAGATTTCATTGGTAGTAACATATTCATTATAAATCAACAGCATGAAACCATGACTCACTTAAAAACAGATACAATCAAGAATTCCCTACACAGGATGTGTGAAAACATTAGTTGTCTTCAGTTTATTAAAGTAACTGAAGATAATTTGCAGCACAAAATAATAAACAGCACTATGTTGCTGTTAATGCATTAGTAGGCACACCATGTGATAGACACACAACAAACACATTTTGATGCCAATCTTCTCATCATATATTATAATAAAACTTTTTTGTTTGTTTACCACAGTAAGTGAAATGATCGCTGGAACAAAACCCCTTCAAAATGAGTGTAGTTCTTAAAACAAAAAAAATTCTCTGCATTTCATAGCCTGAATAGTTAGAAATGTTTGATGGACGAAATAAAAATTTGTAAAGGATACTTTTTTTTAAAATTCCATTTTGTAACAGATGAATGAATGAATGAATGAATGCATTTCACACAGTGCTGTAGATACAGTGCACAGCATTTTGTCATTATATCCTACCTGAAAATGAATATATGTCTTGTTTGGATGTTATTTAGACAATTGTCACCATCAAACTACATAAAGATCAGACAAATACATGACTGATAACTTACCAACAAAAGTTGAGCCTTTCAGTGTACAGTCTGAACACGTAGCGCCAATTTTTATTGCTGTTAAAACCTCTTCTGTTTTGATGTCAGCGCTTGGTGCGTAGGTGATCTCTACAGTTGCATTGACCCCTTTACTGTTCCTTAACCAAACTTTGCCGTTGTTAATGGGCCTATATAGACAAAAATGACACTTAATGATGATTATATTTTGCAATGATTATGTGCAATGTGCTGTAAGTGTACTGTAGAAGTTATGGTTTGAGATAGAGAGACAATAAGATGGTTAAACCAGTCACTTTGCGACTTACCGGATTTCCAGCACTATAGATCCAGAGTAACCCTCAGTTTTGTTTAATTCAGCCGACAGCTGTGTTTTGGAAATAAAATACAATGTTTTTAAGGCCATCATTTCACTGGGAATGCATAGACACTGTGCAGCAGGATAGTATATTCATTACCACACACAACAGGTTTAATACCCAAATGTAGCACAGGTGAGTTGAACTATCACAGTTGTTAGTGAACAGAGAGCAACAACAGATCTTTTTCAGGGTATTTTTGCATCAAAAATATCAAACATCTAAAAAGGACAAAAAAGGAAGACTTATTTATAATTGTAATATAATTCCTACAAGATAAAACAGGTGCATAGTGTTTGCTGTTGCACAAGATATGCACAGTTAGCTTGTTTAAAGATCGACTTAAAAAAATTAAATGTGTGAAAAACATGGATAAATATATGGATCACTTGCAGCCAAGTAATTAAGTAAAAAAAACAATGTGTGTGCATTACTTGCCTTTATTCCAAGCCTAGAATTTATTAAAATTCAAAAACAAACAAAACAAAACTGATTGCTTACCGCATCAGTAATTGCTTTTGAGTTGTCTAGAAATATTTCTGATGTCTTATCAGCCATTTCATTATTGTAATTGATTCCAGGCAGGCTTAGATGTCCAGGGAACACTTTGGCTAAAACAGGAAAACATAATCTTCAGAAAGTTGCATGTACATTCAACAACAATAGTTCAGCAATATGGTAAATACGCTTGGTTGCTTTCTTTCCAAGAGTTAGATGAGAAAGACTGAGCCCACTCTAATACCTGTCCAATAAATATATGGCTGCTTAGCTTAGCATAAAGACAGGAGAAATCTCCTCTGATTGCCTGGAAACGTCATGGTAACAACAAAACTTCTGGAAGTTGTTCTTAAAATTTTCTTTGTGGATTGAACTAACAAAATAAAATGTATATAATGTAATATAATATAATGTTAATTTAGAGGTGCTGGTAGGTGTATTTTGTTACCAGGCCAGGCTAACTGTTTCCACCTGTTCCAGTCTTTATGCTAAGCTAAGCTAAAAGTATGAGAGCAGTATGATCTTCTCATGCCAAAATGTTTAACTGTGGATGTACATATTTCATGAAATGATTAATGTAGCACTAGTCTTCTAAAGATGCTTATAGTGTTGACTGTCTTGATTCCAGACTTCACTGAAACCAAGCTAATTATAAATAAATGGCAACACTAGATATTACTGCTCCTGGTCCTCCTACATACCACAGATACTGTACATGCACGCCTATACAAGTTACTTACCCCTCTCACAAATTGTATTGTCATAATTGTAGACATCACCAGCCAAGCACAAGCAAACAAAGGTTTGATTATGACGAGGGTCACAGGTGCTTCCAATTCCACATGGGTTCACATCACAAGGGCCTTTAAATGTAAAGTAAAACACACACAACAATGTAAGCATTTACAGCATCATGTAAGCACCCAAAATCATTAAAGGCTTGGTAACATAGGAAATTACAGTTGTTGGACAGAGGTGGAATTAACAGGAAGCTGTGTTGGAACTGGTGTTGTAGAAGGTGACGAACCTGCTTCCGGGTTTTCAGTCGGTGGTGGTTGGGTAGGTGGACTAGCAGAATCTGTTCCGGTGATTGCCAGTACCTGGCGGTGGAGTAGTAGCAGTAGGACTAGCAGAACTTGCTCCCGGATTGCCAGTAGTTGGCGGTAGAGTAGTAGTAGTAGGACTAGGAGAACTTGCTCCCGGATTGTCAGTAGTTGGCGGTAGAGTAGTAGCAGTAGGACTAGGAGAACTTGCTCCCGGAGCTTCAGTAGTTGGCGGTGGAGTAATAGTAGTAGGACTAGGAGAACTTGCTCCCGGAGCTTCAGTAGTTGGCGGTGGAGTAATAGTAGTAGGAGTACTATTAGTTACCATTACCAAGCTTTCAGTAGCTGGTGGTTGAGTTACAGGAGGAAAACATAATGAGTAAATTCCTTTTTAAAAAAAGCCATAACCTTATCTTCATCTTGACAAAAAGCTAATGGCAATCAGCATTTCATGTTCAAATCATGTACTTTGATAGAATTATACATAGCTTCATGATACAACACAATGAATTATAAGTATATAGGCAGTGCTTTTCCCTTTACCTGAAAATGAAAAGGGATTAATCATAGACACGAGAAGTACAACTTAAAGTGAGTGAGTGGTGGCACTGCCGTGTTTTTAAACTGAAAAAAGTCCAGCTGTTCACTCTAAATCACATCCAAACAATTTGTCACATATTTATATTGAGGATGTAAAAAGCCCAAATGAAAATAAAGGAAAAATAAAGTGAAATAACAATTTGATACAAAACAAGGGCCGAATGGCTTCTGAACTAATTAGGTCATACAAGAGACTACATCTACCCCATAAAACTGGCTCAAAGCTCATTTAGGCTTAAAACATCTAAAGCTTTAACCAGGTGGTGAACAAAGGCATTTCATTGACTGGAATAGACTTCCAAAAGAAGGTAGGGTAACAACAGGGTCATAAGGTAAGGTCTGATTGTCTCCATCAACACAGTAGTCAAATATTTACCATTGTGCACTAAACCAATCCTGAGATAAAAAAAAGAAGGTTGTTATGTCTAAACTTAAAACAAGGAAGCCATGTATATATGAAAAAACAACAGTTGTTCAGTGTAATTCATTAATACAAGCTTATTTAAATGTACTACTAAAATCAAAAGACCGGAATATTTATCTCGATTATAAGATTTACCTGATCATTGAACTTGTGATCACTTATCAGAGACTATCGACTAACAAAGATTTAAACATGTTGAGGATTTAAATGTATCGTAGAAAATCAGGATGACTTACCAAGACATGCTGAAACCAGCCAAAGGACACAGAGGTTTTTTAATTCTCGAGCCATTGGAAAAGAAGTTAAGACAAAACAGAATACCAGTGAGCGCTAGACAAGGCTTTAGTGCCCTAAACCTTGGAGGATGAGGGCTGAGGTGTCCTCCACTGGCAGTTTTAATCATTAGCCACACCTCTGAGGGTGGCACCTTGTGCTAAAGTACATTTCCCGCCCAGAAAAGACAACTCGGGGTCCACTTTCCATGTCTCCAAGCTATTGATCTGTCTGGTTTTTGTTAATGCCCAGAAAGTGTGTCACGCATTAACAGCTATATAAAGCTATATAGCATTAAAACAGGCATGACTACAGAAATTACAAACACAACCTCAAAAATGTAATCTAGACAAAATCCAAAGGAAAAAAAGAGGAGGCCATGTTGTTTGTTTGCTGTGTGAAATGATCTCAGCAATTGGCACAACCCTACACAAGAGTATGTCACATTGCTAAAATAAAATCCTCATTCATGGCCAACCTAAAAGTCAAATCTTACATTGTACATTGGTTGCGGCGGCCACTCAAGAGAGGTTTTAAACTGATGATGAAAGTATGCTTTGTGTTAAACACCAAACATATATATATGCAAACATGGCCTACTTGCTTCATGTCAACACATCTGATATATAATAATCAGTTTGTGACATACATAGATCAATAGTAGCCTAATTTTAGGCATGACCCATGATGATAAAGATACAGAAAAATAGAAATACATGGCAAAAATAACATATTGTCAATGCCCAAAATTTCACAGATCATGTTTTCAGGGTAGCTCATGTCTTATTAAGATGAACCAAGCTCCCCCTTGTTACACCGTAGTGCCCACCCTGTGGGGTCTTTCTTTCCCACTCTTAACAACAATTGAGTAGCAAGCTTTGTAGAACAGTTAAGGAGAGCACAATGGGTCCAAAACCACAGATAAGGGGAAATATAAACAGGAAGGATCTCTGCCAGAAAGAAGTTAATGATTAGAATATATGAATAGCTTGTGTTCTATATTTACAATGTGCCTGGTTCAAATGACATCAAGAGCAAACATCAGTTCTTTAAACAGGGTGGAAGCTCTAAATCAGAGAAGTTTACTGACAGAGGTTATTATCATGGTGCAATATCAAATGCATTACTCTGGCACCAAGTGATGTCACATACTGTACATGTTTCATAGCTGAACCGATCCCCATAGCTGTAAACATTTAAAACAGAACTGGAGGATTTCTTTGACGATAACGTACAAAAATACTACCACAGTATATAATGACAACCAATGTACGTTTATTTGCTTTGATAGGAATGCAACACTGTTGGCCGTCATTAATGACAATGTTCTAGGGCGAATAGAACAATTTATTTTGTACATCTCTGCCCCAGACTTCATAAGTCACTTATAGAGGCCGTAATGAACAGAGAGTTCAAAGATTACATTCTTTGTGGCCATTTTATGAATTTATGGCAGTTCCACCAGTCGTCACTTAACCCTGAGACAACTTCTATAAACCTGATTTCTTCACAGGCCCCAAAAACACGAGAACACCTCTGGAAAACATGTCCACGCAACGCCACCACAGGAGAAGTTGTGCCCGTGAAGCAAAACGCAATTACAAAGAAAAGTCTGAAAATGTGTCTTCAGATGAACCCACTTGCAACATATTATCGGAAACTAGGTGGCCAATAAAACAGGGTGGGACAAAGGATAACGTGACTGTTGACACAAAGATGTCATAAGATGTGATAATATGGTCTTAACAGTTAAAACGTTTTCAAAAAGAGGTTGACAAGACCTTAACACGAAAGTTGGAACATCAAAGTGTGTTTTAAACCGTCACCTTAAGAATATGTGTATTCATTTTTAAAATTGTTGTTATAGTTTGGTAAGATCATCTAATCACCACCCATAAAACGATCATGTCTCCAAGATGACTTTGATCCCAGTTGTATATCTGATATAACATGGCAAAACTTTTACACCACTTCAGCGTCATCATGGGCGTCAGTGGAAATATCTCAAATGGCCTATCAGGTATGTTTTGAATAAAGGTGAAGTTTCCATGGATGGACAACAAATGGTTGGAATAGATCAATAGAGAAACATCTGTTCAATCAGTTCGCGGCACACACATGCAAAACATTTCTGACCACTGAAATCTCAGATTTTAAAAGAAAAACTCTTCAAAACACTGAATTGAAACCTGCTTTGACTCGGGACAATAACTACACTAAATAATCTATATATTTAATTCCTATGTCAAATTTGTTGAATATGTGAACAGACACCATTTATGTAATTTGAAATTAAGTCTAGGTTATATAATTCATATTGATTTCAACAATCAACTAAATCTCAACATTGGTATCCAATACTATGTTAAGTTAAAACCACATTTCCCACAAATAACGTTGCTTTAATGAAGAAAAATAATGCAATTATTCACTTTCCTCTCAATTCTTTGGTTTAATGTTTTTTTTTTTTTTGATAATTTCTTTGTGAAAAACATGTCACAGCGGGACAACCTAATTTCCTTTATCTGTTCAGTTTAGAGTTGGCATTGTTTGTGCTGACTCACTTTTACACTGTCATTGGCACTATGCAGAAGGCTGCAAATGAAAAAATACTGCACACTAACAAACTGCTGACTGCTAACCGTAGTCAAAAAGTTACAAATGGCACCTTGTAACTTTTTAACTACGGTTTAGCTCATTATGACTTTTTTGGGGTTTTTTTACATTATGTGATCACCTCGTGGTTTGTTTTGGAGCAGGTACATTTTCTTCACATTAAGACATCTACCATGTTCCCCAGCTACATTTTTCACAAGCAGGTTTTATGAACATGTTGCCATGAGGAGTGTCAACAGATGTGGGATCACAGAGTAATAACTGCATCAATGTCCTCTCGATGACTGTAAGTCCAAAGTCACTTACAGTTATTGCCATAGTTAACCCCACCCAACCTGCTGTTCCTAGCAATGACGATTGTGATTAAAGTTCATGAGGGTGAGGGAGGAACACTGATATCAGCTCAGCAAGAACTGGCAGCATCCCTGAAGACCCTTGAACTCAAGGCTTCTTCAAGAAGAGGCAACACTAAGCAAGCAGGGCAGAAGGAACAAAATTGTTTTGCAAATCGATTACTCTGCAGTGTCATGATCCACGCATCCAAAACCCATATAACATATAAAGTGCAATGGTGGAAGAAGTATTCAGGTCTTAAGTAAGGTCTTAACACATTTCAACTACTTTTTACATTATTTCATATATATCTATTAATCTATAATGGAGTAGAAATATATACAGTAGCAGAAAATGGAAATACTCATGCAGTCCTGCTCATGGACTCATTTGCAGCTCTATTGTAATGTCTATATTTCCACTTGTGAAGAGATTCCATTAAGAAGATTTCTTAAACAACTACTAACTATTTTTTGAGGGGTTGTTTCCTTTCCCCAGTTACACATAATGCTAGCAAGAGGATAGGCCGCCATGAATCTCTAGGTTAGCTTCAGCCCTTGTACTGACTATACAAGCCTATGGAAGCCAAGAGGTGTCAACACCATTCTTCCTCTTATTTGGTGTTTGATGATGTTGGTGGAGATCGCTGTCTAACACAGGTTTTAGGAGTCTCCCAGATCTGTTCAGCTGAGTTGAGAGCTGGTGGTGGCGACGGCCATCAGTAATGGTTCACATCATTTTCATCAAACCATTCAGTGAACCCCCTAATGCTCTGTATGGACATATGTATTTGTTATATTTCTCAACTCTCATTTAAATTTCTTTATAAACAATAAGGTTTTTTAAATTATCATTATCATTATTATTGTTGTTGTTATACATAAAAATACATAAATTATTATTATCCCTAACAATACAAAACAAATGTGTCATAACCAATCCCTCCTGAAACACCCATTTAAACTGCAGTAAACACATAACGTCACCATCATTATTACATGTATCTATTTGTGTTTTTCATATATGAACCATCGAGTTCTCATCACATCATCTTTTTTGATTTTTTGTATGTTTATTTTACTTGTTTTCTTGTCTTTGTGTTTATCATTGTTACATCTGTAAAGTCACTGCTGGTTAGTTTTTATTTTAATAAAAAAAGAACCATGTTAGAAACACCCTGTGATCACAAGTTTTTTAGTTTCCTCACCTTCGTTTATTTGTTCAGGAAACTTAAACACTTGGTTACGTTAAGGGACAGCTTGTGGTTACGGGGTGTTTCTAACTCATCTGTAAAGTGATGTTTGGGTTGGATGCTGGTTTCACTTGTTATTTACACCGAAGCCAAACTGCGTAACTAAAGAGAGAGCTCAACCTGCTCCTTCTAATTTACAATGCGACACTCTAACATCCCTTCAGTATCGGGAAACAGGGTTTTCTTTCTCACTGCCATCAAGGTAAACAGTGAGAAGTCAGTGTTAAAACAACAGAATCTTGTTGACATTACATTCGACTTTGACAGCTCAGCATGTTATTGAGGAGACCACTTGTACAACGTGCAAAGCACTTCAAGCTACTGGTAATGTAATGTCAAAGTAACAGCTCCATCTTCTGGCAACAGGGCCTTGTGTCTAAATGTCACATGGCATACTGTAAAACTGGATTTACTCACAGTAGGAGGAAGGTGCGTCACTGTAAGAATGCAAGTCAGTGTTATTCAGTGTCTCTACTGGAATACAAGCTTCAACTGCTTTATATGGTGTTGCCACTACTTCATCTGAATCTGGTTGATGGTACTTTATTCTGACAGTTCATTCCTGTATTCTGAACAGCAAGGTTGGCTCTGTTTAACCGAACACCAGATTTGAGATTATATTAATGTATCATTACTCAAGTACAGTACACTGAAAATAGTTCTTTGGGATTGTTGCTGTTGAGCACGTTTGAGGTTCTTGTTATTTACAGACTGAATGGATGATGATTGATAATAATAATGAAAGTGATGACAATCATTGACTATTAAATGAAAGCTGGTCTGGCTTGTATGCAGCGGGGTGATATCAACCTGAGGTCGTTGATACCACGTTGGCACATCCAGGAGGTGATATCAGTCCTAGGCAGTTATTATTTTATAAAGTGGTTGTTTATTTAGCGGTGAT